GTACATAATCCATACCTATAAAATATCTATCTACAAGATAAATGCCATTGAAGGAATTTTTTTTCTTAAAAGTCAGAAAGAAAGAATGCCTGCCCCCCTTTCCCCCTCCTTTTAGGGAAAAATATTTAAACAGAGAACAGCAAAAGCTTTTCATAAGAAAAATCAGTACCAGCAAATTCTATCAAAGGAGGTTTCTGAAGCATCATTGTAGTTATTCAGGACAGCAGCAGTTATGTTGCAACAATCCTGAAAAACATGGGGGGGTTAGGCAGCATCTTCTGTCCCACCTATAGTTCTAGACCATTACGGAACAGAAGGAAGACAACTCTTACCCTTTGAGCTTTCGCAAGTTCTTCTTTCAGTCTTTCATAGCCCTTCTCTCTTACTTCCAGTACAGATGGGCTCCGTAAGTGAGACAGACTGTCTGTACTCAGACCAAAAATATCTTCAGTCCCTTCAGGAACATCTGTTACTGTAGCACCCTGCAAAAACTCTCTCTCTGCATTATTGCTCTCCTTTCTGGAATTATTGTGATTGAATGACCCACTCTGGGGTCCAGAGGTAGAACAAGGTACTGTGTCGGTAACATTGATGCTGTAAAGAGAGTGACATTTCTTTAATTAAACAAAGAGTCTCTTAAAGTTGTCAGTTTTGCTGTTAGATGTACCACAGTAAACATAATCAAACACAGAAAGTTAAAGATGCTCATAATGTTTTATTAAAAATGCTATATAAACCATTTAAAACTAACAAATTTTGCTAGTTTACCTAAATAAAATGATGTTGGTCATTATCAACTCTAGTTGAGCAACCTACCTGATACCTGATGTTTCTCCGCAATTTAAATGCCTGGGAGATGAATAAACAGGTTGTGTGGGAAGATCAGAAACATTTAATGCATTGGGTTGAATAGGTGGGGAGCACACAGCAGATGGGTGGGGCCGATAGATAACGCTGGGAGAGGTAGTTTGTTCTTGAGTCCCTGACTCACATACTCCAAGAAGATCTGGTGTAGTGGGCGAAGCTAGGTTCACTTCATGAAAGCCTTCCAAGGGGTCACTGGCCATAATAAAAGCCTCATCATATGCAACCCTGAATTAAACAAAAAAACAAACAACCAATTAGGATGAAGGAATGCATATTTATCTCCGGCATTTTTAAAAGACAAAAGCCCAGAAAAATATATTTTAAATATTTAATAATACATGTACAACTTAAAATTTCAAATACCAAAATATATCCTGTTCACACACAGAACAGTAAAGCTGCCCCAGCAGGCAATTTATAAGTAAGCTTTAAGTGCCTGTTAACCAAGGTGACTGCAACTGAGTGAACTATGAACTATGTGAGAATGCTTTGTCTTCCGTCATAAAGTCAGTATGCACTAGATTACAGGCGTCTTGTACACACATGAATGTGCTGCACATATAACTGTGTGCCATAGGTAGGAAACAAATTCCAAGAAAAAAACCATAAGCTTTAGACAAAAATCTCCCTTCTCCCTAACCAGGTTTCTAATTTTAATTGCAATAAAACAGAAGTATCAGAGAAACACGTCTACATTCCACTTGCAAATAAGTTATCATAAAAAGGTTCCATGGTTTGTTAAATGATAGACTTGGTCCTACAACCGCTGACTCAAACAGCAAAAAATAGTTAATGAGATTACTCATACAAGCAAGGAACAGCAAAGGAAGCCCTTACATCTGTATCATACTTACCATATTTTATTAATGTATTTACCAAAACATAGAAAAAAACAGGACTAGAATGGACCTCCTAGGCCAAATGCCTCTCCCACACTTGCTGGCCATCATTTGCCCACAGAATCCCCCAACCAACCACTTTAAACCCTCACAACTACAAGATTCAATTCTTAAATGACCATGTCATATGCTACAAGTAAAAGCAGGGGTGACAAGGACACCACCAATAAACCGCTATTACAGCAGGCAGGTATAACTTGTTAATACATGCTCAGAACGTCTCAGGAAAAGGGATCCTGTGCCAATCTGTCCTTCAGGAAAAATTTCTTCTTGACCCATATTTGGTAAATGGTATGATCCTAAGCAGAAGAGCAAGACCTTCCAGTCAGGAAGCTCTGAGTTTTCTAAGTTCTGACACCCAGCCAAAAGCCCCTAGCCAACGAACATCCCAAAGTTTCAGAGGAAGACAACTGCCTCAGCAGTTTCCTAGAGCACTGAAGAACTTTGCAAGTCAGAGTTATAAATCTCAAGTAATATAGAGACCTCGAAAAGCTGGAGAGAGGCAATAAGGGGATTATACCTACATGTGAACATCCTGAAAAGATGGTAAAGCAAACAAGTTTTCCCATATTTTATAAATAAGGATAATATAAATATTAGGGGTGCACTGATAAAGATTTTCTTGGCTGGTACTAATAGCCGATTATTCACCCGGCATATCAGCTGATACCGATCTGATAACCAATTTACAGGACCACAGCTGGGCAGTGCAGAGAGCTGCTCCCTGCAGGTAACTCTGTGAAAGAGAAGATGCATGGGGGAGGAAAGGAGTGGGACGGGGGCAGGGACCTATATACTGACCATAAGGTCAGTTATTTTGATACTATGACTTTCTCCCAGTGCTATGCACCTACATTGTGTTATTTTGATGTTTATTAGAGGTGCTATCAGTGCTATAGGGGATCTTTGGACAAGAAACAAAGGCATACTTTCTATATAAACAGCACATGAAGCTGTTCTGTTTGGGTACCAGTTCATTTGTTTGTTTTTGAAGATTTACCTGATGGCATATATAAATATTAGTTTCCATATAAATATCTCAGTTTGTGAGCTGTTTTTAACAACTTAAACGTCCAAAACGTTTATTAAAGCACAGGGAGTAGAGACAAGCAATTAGCATTTGCAACAATCCTTCAGTTATTACATCATTTTTATCTATTTAATGAAAATAATTTAAAAAGGGAAAAATGTCATATCCACAGGAAACTTTAAAAACAATTAATCCAAAACAAAATACTGTTTTCTTCCTCCAAGGAGGTATTTATATTGTCTACATAGAAATCAATCATCTTATTTCTTTAGAAACTAATATTTATACGTCACCAGGTAAGTCTTCAAAAACAAACAAATGAACAGGCACCCAAACAGAACAGCTTTGGTGTGCTATTTATATGCCTTTGTTCCTTGCCCAAAGATCCCCTAAAACTTTTTACATAAAACACAACAAAGACCTTGTATGGCTAAAAAGATTTTTTGTATTCCTATGTTTTGTGGGAAAATACATTCTATTTAGAACTACCTATAACAGTAATATCCATTCCACTTGCAGTGTTTTCTTTGTGAACAGAATAAATCCTAGATCAAAAGTATGTCTGTTCACTTGCTTATTGGTTCAATCTATGCAGCTTGTACCTACTTTCCTCGCATAGTGCAGAAATGATCACTTATTTTTAAGTTCCCATTTAAGCAATTTTCCCCATAGTTTTCTTATTATGAAGAGTCTAATAATGTGATTTGTTCAAGGATATAGCCTGGTAAAAGTCAACTAATAGAAGGGAAAGGACGGTCAAAAGAACAAGCCATTTTTTTCAAGGATAAACTTCAATGATGTGTTCAGTTTTTTTCTACTGCAAACACAAGACCGTGGCTAGGAACAGAAAATATACATTAACCAGAATAAGTGATTGGGAACTGGCTCCAATCTATAACACAACAGAAGTTCAGTGCGCTTAAACTGTTTTCAAAATGGCTGAAACTGGTTTAAGATGAGCCTGGATTGTTGTAGAAATCAGACCAAATTGATTTAGGTTAAATCAGTTTATTGAACTTCTGTCCCAGATCCCCTCCAGCTTCAAGTTAGCTCATACTCCCCCAGCATCCCAAGATGCTTTGCACCTTCCCTGCAAATCCCACCTCGCAAGATGGGTGGGCAGGCTAGCATTGGCCCAAACTTTCTGCTCCAACTGAGCAAGAAGGCATGCTCTAGCACCACCCCTACCTTCTGGCCTGGGCCACTTCAGGCACATGGGTGCATTTCCAGAATCAGAAGTATATGCCTATTCACTTGCTTATTGGTTTAATCAATGCATCTTAGACTAACCTGCAAAGATTGAATCAATTCAGTCTTGGGCTTTTTCACTGTCTGTACTTAGCCCTAGTGTTTAACATTTAGTAAACTCAAACCTACAGAACTTGAAATACTGTCACCAACATCTACTCCTAAGAACTTATTATCCTGGGTGAAAAACGCCCATCATCCCTAGTCTCTCACTTCAATAAATCAGTATAATCCCATTCCTTTTACCCAATACATCAACTCCCCTCGGCCCCCAAGCAAAAGTCATTCTCAATACACAAATGCTACTACCCTTGCAGCAGTGTAGCAAGCACTCTACCTCCATCCTTCTCCTATGGGCCCCAATCTTTGCAGCCAACAAAAGAAACAGGAGACAATCTTTCAGTCATGAAGACTCTTTAACCTTTTACACACCCAGTAATAGCTGGAGACCACCCCTGAAATGGAGAATTTGGCACAGGAAGCAAAACAGGAATAAGTAACCTGCCAGTTTGTCTTCTGCACATGCTCCCCATTTCTCCCTAGCTCCCAAGCTTCATCAGGTCTGAAAACCTTCCCTTTAATGGAACAATTATCTTAAAAGCCTTTCTCCATTGTCCAGTAGGAAAACTGGAAATCATGTATTTAATTCTTAGCACTGACAGTTGTATTAAACTTGCCTAATATAATTTAACCCTCTATTGTATTTAGTTGCTTACACCTTTGACAAATTAAACTTTAGCCTTCTGGCTAAAGTTTTCCAGCTTTAATGTCTGCTTTAGATCAAAGTTTATGGACTACTTGAGCAAATATTGTTTGACCATGTCCAAAGTGCTGATGAAAAATTTATTTCATAATGTTTAAAAGAGTTTCCATTTTTAAAAGGTTCTTATACCACTATGGTTTGGAGCAGGGACTTGAATTTTGGCAGAGAGTTAATGTTGTGTTCAAGGATCTGTATTTACTCTCTTTATGAAAACCTACATAGGTTTGGCTGTGTTATAAGCTGCATAAACCACTGCAGGCTCTCACAGAGTAGAACCTGCTAGAAGTCTGTGTCTTGTTTTCTATTCTTATTACAATGCCTACACCTACTGAGGTCTGGGGTACAACATATTTAGACCAGTGAATAAAAGGAACAGGCATACAATGTAGAGCCCTACTCTACTGTTACTTACACCTAGCAGAGAACCACTAACAGGTACATTAGGGTTTAAAGATATAGGTGTTAAGTTATACCTGTAAATATGTTGCGTGTCCACAGCTTACCTCAGAACAGCCATTCACATAAGCAGGCTTTTACAACACCATATGCGGTGGTCAGGGAGCAGATAATAGGTGCATACTGTCTGCAGCTACCCCAAAATCTATTCTAAATCATGGTGTTATTTATGTCAGTGTTCAAAGCATATGCCAGTTACACAAATGAGTATTACGCCCAGGCTCCAACACAGATGCATCATTCTGCAACCACTACACAGAATTTAAAACTAAACAGAACAAAGAAAAAAAAGTTAATATTGTTGCCATCACCCTTCTCCTACCAGGAAAATTTCTGACTTCCTTCCCTGCTGTTCTCTCTCTCAATTCACATATATCCTGCGTAATATTTAAAATACATTAAAATTAAGCAAAACCTATAAGAACCACACCATTTTAAAAGAAAATGCTATCAATACTTGGGCAGGGGGCTGAACCCAATGATCTTGTGAGGTCCCTTCCAGCCCTAATGTCTATGAAATCTATGAAACTTCATTATTTGTAAACTATCACTCTTCCTACCAAATACCTACATTTATTTTTCTAAATAGAGTAGACAAGTTCATGGCACACTTCTGAGGCATGGGGATTTGCCTTAGAATGGCTCTGATCTCAACTGGCTGCACAACAAAGTCCTGCTGACGTTAGCAGGCTCTGGCCAGGCACAGCAGTATTCCAGTGTATTACAAAACTGAACCTGAAGTTTGCACAGTGCCTAAAACTATAAAGCTATACTAAAACCTCTGGGCTTTCTGGAATACAAATTAATAGTAAAGAGAAATATTAAT